ATTTGGAACTTATTTTTGTATTTTTGAAATAAGGTAAAGTAAATACCTTAGAAATGTATTGTTCCCTTTCACAAATGAGATCACAAGTTTAACATTTCAAAAATCACGTTTTAATTAAAATTTATTTATAATTTAATTAATTAATTATATATTTAATTAATAAATATATAAAGATCACGAATCTATACAATTTGGGCACAATTCAAAAATTTTATAGGTCCGGTTCGTTCATCGGTCACAAATTAAAATTTTAAAAATCACAATTGGTTCATCGGTCACAAATCACAAAATTTATAAGTCACACAACTTATTTTATGGTCACAGAACATCAAATTAGAGGTCACAGATTATTTTTATTGGTCACAAATTAAAAATTTTATTCGTCACAATTTAATTCATTGGTCACGAATCAAAAAATTATAAATCACAGTTTATCGATAGGTCACATATTTTAAAATTTCTTGGTCACAAATTATTGAAAAATTATAGATCACAGTGGATCTGCCCCCTGTCACAACAAAAAACCACCACAACCATCGCCACCTGCACTACCAAACCAAAAAAACCACCACAGCAGCCGACCCACCGCCGCTGCAGCCAGACAACCCAAAATCCCCCAACAACACCAAAACCACCACAAACCACTGCTACCACCAACATAAGCACCACTATCTCCACCACAAATCCACTATATCTGTAAACCAACACAGCACAAGTTGCCTCGCACACCAACATAGCACACACCGCCTCATACACCAACACAGTACATGCCAACGCCGACACAGTTCCAATCATCACCACCACTTCGCACCCCAACACAGCCCACATCGCCATCAACACAGCCCGCCATCAACGCACACCACCACCTCGCACCAGATCCAACCACAACCACACACATAACCAAAACAGACGCTGCTAGACAACCACCACAACCACACATCACTAACATCTCACCTGATCTAAAAGGTAGGAGAAAGTGCAGCAACAAGTATTCATGATGCGGGGTCTAGGAAAGTAGAAAGCCGATGTTAACCGCTAAATGCTAGTGTTTCAGGGTAATAATTCGATCGATTCCTTTTTTAGAGAGGGGACGATTCTGCAGTGGTGATGATGCGGCGATGTCGGTGGGATGGTGGCGACAGTGTCGGTGGGATGTTGGAGAGAAAACGGGTTGGCAGGAGAGAGAGATGGGGAAGTGGAAATGAATTAATTAGGGTTGAAATTGTATATGATTAATTTAAATAAAAATTGATTTAAAAATTATCAATAAAAACCTGATTTATATATTATTAAAGATGATTTTGGATTTTTGAAAATGGTAATTTAAAAGTAGGGGTGAGTGTAATTTCCTCATTTAAAAATTATTTATATTATCATTTATTCAACATTCATTTTTATTTATTTATAAACAAATAGTTCGTAGATTCTTTCCAAACAGAACTGCAACATGTAGGGGTGGGCATTGAGTCGAGTCGAGTCAAGTCAGGCCCGGTTTGGCCCAAAATCGACCCGACATACTCGATTTTGGGCTCTTTCACGAACCGACCTGGTTCGAATCAGTCAGGCCCAACTGTTTTTTTCTAGCACTGATTGACTTAAATAAAAATAATGCTTTTGTCATTTCAATAAAAAAATTTCAACAAAATAATATTTGTCATTTGTACAACACAATTAACTAAAATTGAAAATCACAAATTTTTACTAAGAATAGGTTTATAATTTGAATTTTTTCACAAACAAAAATTAAAGCGTACATCACAAATAATTATTTTCATGCACGTTAATATCATACTAATAAAATCAAGCACACTAAAAATTATCATTAATTACGAAAAGTAAATACTAAAATATTACAGTCAACCACCACTTAAAAATATACAGTAATCCAAATTTAATAAAAAAAAAATACTACTCATCCAAAATTCAAACTTTTAAAAAATTAAACAATAAAGTAGAGTATTACAATCTTCGATTCTTGCATAGCTTTAAGTAGCATTTCTACAAAATAATATAAATGTTTAGAGAAAAAGATTAATAATATAATGGTAGAGCTAGTTATACATCTACCTTAAAAAAATCATAAATACATGAATCACTTGGATTTAACATTCATTTGATTTTTCTGATTCCAAAAGCTCTATAAAAAAAATAAATAAATTAATTAACAATAAATTATATAAAACACATTTATTTAATATACTTCATGGAATAACTATAATTATATTACCTTCGTCCAATTGTAGACACTTGAATTGATATAATGTCTATTGCGAGTTTGGACAAAGTACCATATTTATTTCCATTAAGCCGCCACCAGTTAAGAACATCAAAATCACTATCCTCTATCTTCACAAGCATCCAACAAGTATCCATCAACATCATTTTTAAGTTCAACCAAATTTTTTGCTTTTTTTTTTCTCTTAAACCTAGAAACACGATTAAGAGAGACCGTTGAAGTATGACTTTCTTTAGTAGAAGAAACCTCACTTGAAGAATTCATATCACTAGATACTTGATTGCTTTTAGAACTTGCTTCACATCTCATATACCAATCGTAAATAGACACTATATTGTCTTTCAAAATATTTGTTATATTACGAGCAATTTCTATATCCTCATAAATATCACTAAAACAAACATCAACATACTCCAATTTATATATTGGATTAGGTACAGTAGCAATCAACTTGTTGCCAACATGATAACAAATATGAATCAATTAAGTTGAATTTATAATTAAACACTTGGGCTAGTACATAATACCTCAAAAATAATTTGTTCAGTCTATATGTTGTCAACACGTTTATTAATTTTTAATGGATAAGAATTATGGAAAATTCTTTACTCTTTATTTTCATTCCCATTTTCATTCTCGACCTTTTTTTTTCTGGCTACTTACAGTAGCAATCAACAACAACTGGTTGCCAACATGATAACAAATATGAATCAATTAAGTTGAATTTATAATTAAACACTTAGGCTAATACATAATACCTCAAAAATAATTGGTTCAGTCTATATGTTGTCAACACGTTTATTAATTTTTAATGGATAAGAATTATGGAAAATTCTTTACTCTTTATTTTCATTCCCATTTTCATTCTCGACCTTTTTTTTTCTGGCTACTTATCGTTCACTTTTGAAAGATATGCATCAGTCATACGAATATCCTTTAGTTTTGAAAAATAGTTCAGTTTCTACAGTTGTATTCGATCAAATTTACTAATTAAATAAATTTATCTTTCTCAAGCTCAAATTAATCTTATCTCTGTGTGAAAGTGAATCTCTGTCTTTTACTTAATTGTTGAATTTTTCTAGACGGTTTAAATTTATAACTCATCTTTAGATTTGTTGCAATCAAGCATTAAGAAAATAAATAAAGAGATCAATTAATATGCAAAAGCTTGAGAATTGAAATGAAATGTTCAGATTTAGATTACATTGTTCATTCCA